AATCCAGCTTTGAACAACCGGCCCCTGTAGTATATCCTGAGCTATGCAGCTTTGGATCCTACTTCAAAAAGTGCACTTAGGATGGACTATAATGAATCTCTGACACACTTCCGGATGTCTACTTTAAAGAAAAGACGTGAAAAACATTGTGTAGAACTTATAAGGAAAATGTCGTCGGAGGGACATATATATCTCCTTCCAACAAAGGTTAGAGAACTAAGACAAAAGATACCAGATCTAATGATGACAAATACTATAATTTTAAATATCAGACAGAACGTTTTAGGAAGAGTCCATTAGTCTAAGATATAAATAGTTATAATAATAGTTTTTAAATACATATATATTCAAGGTTTAATTGATAATTGTAAACATATTTAAGTATTTATAGTCTCTAATAATTCCTTGTATATATACATGGTAATTAATGACTCCTTTTTTATGTATCTTTTTAAAATCCAGTAATAATAATAAAAAAACTAAAGTTAGTTACAGTGGAAATACAAAAAGTGTCCCACTTCCGCTTCTGTAGTTTGTTGTGATTTACTGTAATTTGTTCTGTTTTCTGTAGCGATTACCGATTTATCGGCAAATACTGCGATAAAATTTAAATTTCGTTTCTTTTATGCAATGAAACTAACGAAAAATGTATCATTTCCCTTTGCTACAAATTATCATATTTAAAAATAGAAAAAACTAAGTTTTATCGCGGTATTTGCCGATAAATCGGTAATCGCTACAGAAAAACAGAACAAATTACAGTAAATCACAACAAACTACAGAAGCGGAAGTGGGACACTTTTTGTATTTTCACTGTAAGTTTAATATGTCATCTTACTTTCCATCTTTCGGTTGTTTCTGTTTATGCAACAATCGTTCTTGAACTTTCTTTCTATCTTCCTCCAGACATTTCTTCTTGTCGCAAGAATTAAAGTTCACCAAGTTTAGTGTATCGTATATTAAACCTTCCTTCACTTCCTTGTCCAACTTCGAGTCCGTGTGAAAACTTGGGGAGTGGTTGACCTATTGTATGTAAAATAAGATAAAAAAGTTATGGTCGTGCACTCAAAATTCCGTACTCCAGCAGATGTAATTATCATCAACCCTTAATTTTACAAGAAATATCATGGATTTTGGGGGAAAATCGTGTTTAATTTTCCAGCTTCAAAAGTCCTCTATATTTCTATATTGCCATGTCTAGTGTGAACATACTTTTAGTCTCTATATTACTTCATTTATGAAGATAATACGTACCTCTAATACCCAAGGTTTTAGCTTACGATCCAGTAAAATATCAAAGCCAAGTATCTCAAAACAAGCACTGCCCTTGTTATGATTTGGAAAACATGTGCGGTAGTTGTGTTTTAAGATTGGGTGCGCACTGATCAACGTTTTAATCATCACATCCTGTTCAATGAAACAACAGAATGAATGTAAAAATATTGTTACAAGGAAACAGATATTGTTACAAGGAAAAAGATATTGTTACAAAGAAACAGTTATTATTACAGGAAATTAGGTTACAAGTGCCATGATTATATGTTGTACCTCAATATCAGCCCAAATCTTAGCACTATCATAACCATTTTCTTCAAACCACGTATCAACTGTTGTAATGCGCCTGGCGAAAAGAAATTAACGATTATAGTAAGAACCCAATGAATCAAAACCCTTTATCTCGAATAACTTAAGTTCTGGTCAAACAAGGACGAGAGTTGATGACAGTAATATCCAGTGATCACCTCTCATCAACTCTTGTTCTTGTTTAACGCGGACATGAGAGTTGCGAAAAGCGTCATGCAAACTCTCGCTTCTCAACTCTCATCAACTCTTGTTCTAGTTTAACTGGGACATGAAAGTTGTGACAACTCTCATGCAAACTCTCGCTTGCAAATTCTCATCAACTCTTGTTCTAGTTTAACTTGGACATGAAAGTTGTGACAACTCTCATGCAAACTCTCGCTTGCAAACTCTCGCTTGCAAACTCTTGTTCTAGTTTAACTTGGACATGAAAGTTGTGAAAACTAGTCATGCAAACTCTCGTTTGCCAACTCTCATCCACTCTCATGCAACTCTTGTTCTAGTTTAACTTGGACATGAGAGTTGTGAAAACTCTCATACAAACTCTCGCTTGCCAACTCTAGTTGGGACAAAGCTTATATAAGCGTTTATCTCCTTCTGAAGAAGAAAAAAATCATTTTACCTCTTGCTACCACTTTCCTCATCTCTGTCAAAATCTTTGCTATGTTTATTGATGGCATAGTTTGTCAAATGCATACACATGTCTTCCTGTAATACATTAATGCTACATGTTAGGTATAAAAGATTTATTTGGTCTGGAAGTTGCTTTACAGGTCTCAGTTACTGAATGGATACAGGACTTAAACTGTATGTATCTAGTAACTTTAACTACTTTTTATACAACTGGCTCTAAGCTTACTAAAACTGTTTGTATTTTGATCAAAGAAACTTTGAACAACTGAAAACTGTGCCATAAGAAGGAAAATAAAGTATCATATAAACTGAAGAGTGAAGACATCGCACCCTGGAATTCCTGGGTGATGATCACTTACCACATTGCTATTGGATGGTTCGCTGTACTGTACCGTGGCAAACCTCGCCAAGCCATCTTTATACACAAATATCCTCAGAGGATCACAGGAAGAGATTAAGATATATATTCTCAAGTCGAACTTGAAGCCATCAATGAGAAATGGTTTGGAAACGTATTGTTGACATATCATATGCTCGCCTGGTTTAATGTCCTGGAAAATAATTTAACGTTAAAAAATAAGATCATGACAAGAGATCATATATCATGGATGAATTGAATGAATGGAAAACATTTTTACTTAATGACTACCTTTGGATTTTTAGTGACAAAAATTCCTTTTCCTTGTGAGCCACTTTCAGGTTTACATATAAATGACTTGTTCTTCTTTTGACGGCAAAATGCCTGAAAGTCGCTGTAGCTAAGGAATTAAAAAAAATTAGATATAATATTAATTAAGTGGCAGCAGCTAGCGCACTCTCCTCTTGACCAATCATGTGGCATTAAACAGAGTGAAAATAGTGAAGTCGGTAGGATCAGCTAGGGCATATTGCCACTTAAATTAAGGCCTTTAGAACAAGATGCAAAATTCAAACATTGAAATGAACTTGCAAAATTTGTTGTGAAGAGGACTATAGTGACAAATTACAGTGCCCAGCATATATTCAAACAATTAAGTTGTAATTACCGTATGTTTATAGTGGATTCAATACTTACTCAGCTGGTAGGACCCATGTTTTGGGAAACACTTGATAATCCTTTGGATAAAGTTTCAATAATCTGTTCATATTTCTAGCTAGTAAATCTTTTCTACATATTTCTATCATCCCTGGAAAATGATTGATTTTCTGAAAATGAATAAATGGAACACCCCATAATTAACACATTTAACACTTTCTTTGTTTGATCAATTTTTTGCAATACAGTATATTCTATATATTCCGTTCAAAAACAAACTTCCCATACTTGATATCTTTTCATGTCCATACATCGTTCCAACGCCACAGAATAATCAGTCCAAAACAACGACCAGTCTTCATCTTCTCCGACTTCTTTCATCCCAAAACGTTTTCCCACCCTTCGAACTACAAAACATAAATTCAGTCAATTAGCATTAAATTAGTGAAGTGGATAACCAGTAATTTTATCGGGAGGGGGCCTGGGTGTATATCAGGGGGTGTACACCTCTACAAATAACACCTGAAAAAGATCAAAGGTGGATTCAAGCTCATCTGTGGGGGTGGGGAGTGTGGATCTTTTCTGGAACAACCCAATATGGAATAACAATAAAATATTGCTTATTTTTTTGTGGTTATGGTTTTTTCTTCAGAACTCATTACAGAATGGGAGAAATGCTATTTATTCATTCCAGAAAACATCCACACCTTCCCCATGGACGGAATTGGGATTTACACCCAGCCTGACTGGAAAGTTTGGAAATTGCGCAAGGGGGATTTAGAAAATTTAATAGTACATAATTATATAGAAAACATCAAAATTGCACGGGGATATCTCGACCCACACGATACAAACTTTCCACACTGGGAAATTTCCTCTGTGTAGTGTGGATCTTTTAGGGAACAACTCACAACATTGTGTTCGGAACTCATATTGGTTTTAATGCCCCCCCCCACCACCACCCTGTCAACCAGAGGAAAATATTCATTTTGTTAACCCATTTCTGCAGCTTAATAAGTTAACCAAAAAATCTGACAATGTCTCTAGTTAACCCATTGAGCCACAATGTGCCCCAGTGCACCCTACTTATTTTTTTTACTTGCCTAACGCCAGATGATTTTGTCACAGAATAGATACCGGACCAGAAGTGTCACTCCTATTTGTTTTGGCTGAAGGAAAACGTCCGAAATTTTTTTACGTGCTATGACGCCATCCTGGAGTGCACCCGGCACTTTGTACCTATGTTTTCCTATGAAAAACTTCTGTGTGCACTCCAGGATGGCGTCATATGATGGCGTATTTTCACGTCAGCACTCGTAAAATTTCGGACAAAATATCGTCTGAGTGACACTTCTGGTCCTGTATCTATTCTGTGATTTTGTCCTCAATGGGGAAGCTCTGCAGCTTAATGGGTTAATAATGCTTGCTTATGCTCTAAATTGCGTGTGAATGAGGCCTATGAGGCTATGAAAACAATAACGACCTTCACAAAATTTCATAACTATAAATCAAATATTTAATATTTTAATCCCCACAAACTCTTACCGCTTTCATATTTACAATTTGATAAATTTATACCAAGCCATCTGCAATAAATACAATAACATACATCAAACCTCCATAATTGGAAAGATCAAAATACAATCTTATTATATAAAATAAGATTTATTAACGGGTAATTAAGCTATTTAAAAGGCACATTTCATTAATTAACATGCGACTATTTTTGTCTTTGACAAAAAAAACCAGTACCAGCTAACCTTTTTCGTCGTTTTTTCGTCTTTGTTTTCTTGGATGGTCTTCGACTGATCAGTTGCTCCGGGCATTCTTTCGCTATCTCCTCGGCCGCTTCCCCCTCGATTTCGCTCTCTCCTCGCTGTTCATTGTCGTCAATATCGCTCGTTTCTCCTTCCAAATCATTCTCAGCCATTCTACAGCGCTCTACGCATCAGTGTACGTGCTTTATTTTGACAAAAAGCGGTCATTTTTAGGATTATTTTTCAAACTTCAACATTAAAAAAAGACATGTTTAATCCCCTAGCAACGCTAACGATAAACGGTTGCTAAGGAGCCATGCTTCCACTTCGGGAAATTTCTTTCCCAGAATTTCGTCATATTGCACTTTCGTTTTGGAAGAGTTTTTGCGCTATTATGTAAATTTTTATATTATATGTTTTATGACAAACTTAATAATTTTTGTTAAGTTTACAACTTTATGTGAAATATGTAAGCAGCGTACTCAACTTACTTTATTACTCAGAAACATACTGGTATAAACGTGGAAACCATAGAGATTATGATGGAAACACCAGTCACTCGCGGGCACATTTCTTACAGCAGTTACTTGCACGGGGATACTTTATTTTACAAAACTAAAGTGAATCTCATTTAAATGTAGCACTTTATTTATGCATTAATTTGGTAAATTTGGGTACATCATGTCATCATTATTTTTGTTGAATTTTCTTTCATTATTTACTTAACCAAAACCTGTGGACAAACAAAACATGACATTTTTGGGCAGGCGTGCCATGTCGTTTATTTTATACTGCCCTCGCAAGGGTGGTATATTATCCAAAAATAACAAAAATGCATTTGGGAATTTGTCTGTAAAAGAACAAAAACTACCGTTTTGCATAATTAGAAACCTGAGCAAAGGCGAAACAGTAACAAGTCCAAGAAAAGTCTTCAACAGTTCAAGAAAAGTCGTCAAACGTTCAAAATCGGTCGAGAAACATGGTCTATCTATCGAAAAACATTTGACCAACATTGGGGTAAATGTGGAGGGAATACAGAAAGAAATGAAATTGCCTTTGACAGAGTTACAGGAAAAAGTTGAATCAAGTGCAGAAATGTTAGGAGAGCTTTGTGGGCTGGATGTAACAGCTGTTGGTCACATGGTCTCGAAGCGCCCTCGGATATTGTTACTTAACGAAAGGCAGATAGTGCATTGTGTTGATACGTTGAGAAACGTTGGTTTGGAATATCAGAATATTGCAACAATGTTGAAGAAATCTCCTGGGATTTTGACGTCAAAAATTGAATACAATTTGGAAGAAAAGGCAAGAGATGATTGTGTCAAACTCAGCACACTAGATTATGAACTTTTTATACAAGACACTTTGATTTAAAATGCCGACAGACAGACACACTCACCAAAACAGGCACACTTGCTTGAACGGACGTATATAGTCATTTCCCAAGACATACTGCAGGCAATTAAATCTTTCCAAAAATTTTTATTCAACTGAACTCATTCCAGAATTCTATTGAGATCAGTAAAAATGCTGATACTGTACAGACAAAGAGATAGGTGAGCAGGTACAAGCAGAAAAGGAGACAAACAAATTAGCTAGAAATAGAAACTTAGTTGAGTTTTATTTCGAGGTCAGACCAATACTGGACCAACTGTCCGATATATTTTGTTAAAATTAAGGCACATTTACACAATACATCTTTACATTCTTCCATTTGTTCGAGTACATATGCCAAGATAAGAATCGTGTAGTCATGTTGTGTAGATGCATGGGCTTTTAAAGACTTTAAAGTTACAGTATCTCCAATCAAATTTTCCTTTTATCTTTCTTTAGCTCGAAGTCTTATATAATCTCAAAGTACATCCTCCATACTCTGTAAAAGATGTCCTAAAGATCGTCACAAAATGTCCAAGCCTTGTTTCAACCTGCACGCCTGCATCAGTCGAAGACAAGGCAAACTTTCTGCTGAACGACATTGGTTTCTATCGCCATCAGCTGCACAAAATAATCATTAAACAGCCATCTATACTAACATTTAGCAAGGAAAATATCAAAAGCAAGTTTGATTATTGCTATAGAGAAATGGGTGTGTCAATGCCTGAAATTGCTCAATGCCCTAGGCTTTGGCAGTGCTCGTTAAGACGTCTCGAAGAAAGGCACAAGTACCTACGACATTTAACCATTGTTACAAACAGAGTAGACGGTTATCAATTGGAGAGAATTGTCACCTTATCAGATCACCATTTTGCAGAAACTATTGCTCTGACAAGCTTGACTGAATTTCAGGCTTTCCTCACGGAGCAATGAACATTTGACCCGGACTAGATGTCTAGATAGTCATATTTGATGCAACATTTATTCACAAAACTTTTTCAAACTATAAAGGGAGATCTATTTTATCATTTTCACATTCAAATGCAGTTTTTTAAAAGTTCGGCTTCACAGGAATTATTACAACATTTCATGCTCGAGCGACCTGTTGTTGGCTATCTATCTGCACTCCCAAAAATATTAATCTTTGATATTATTTTACTTTACTATTTATGCAATACTAAGTTAGATTTCTCAATGATTTACAAAATCCTCTTTGCTATAATTCAAATATGTTACAAATATTGTGTAATGCATGCTTGTGTTATGATACAACAGTGAGATGGGTGTTTCGACTGTACATTGGAAAATGAATGTATACAAACGTCAGCCTTCATCCTTGGGTGGTGTGAACCAACCTTAATTAACACAAAAAAACAGAGAATCCTTGCTGAATATTGAAGGGATTTTGTGGATGAGAATTTCGAGGGTAAATTTGTACATTTTTAAACCAGTAGCACTTATGCCATGCAAACTCCGGGTTTTTCGCCTCTGGCCAAATAAAGTCTGTTATAAACATGCACTGGCTCCGGCAGAAAATGTCCAGCTCCGGTAAATTTGTGAAAATTTGAAATTTAATGAAAATTCGTGCAAATTAGAAATTTAACACTTTGCAGTTCGCATGAACATTTCGTACTATGTTTGTGGCAAGCCTACGCAGTTCCAATGTGAGTATTTACTTTTTCGTTGATGGTTTCAGGTTTCTTCGCCGATGTCCGTCAATAGTTTGCAGCACAAATGAGTGCTTCCGGAGTTGAACAAAACTCTGGCCCTGGCACACAGCACTACTCTGACGGCCAAGTTTCGAAGGTAATGTCAGTATAAGGGATGGGTAAACATCAACGACATCTGTTAAATAACACCACAAATATACAATTACTAACCACAAATTTACTTACCGTTCCTTTCATGAATTTGAACCAATGATCTAAAGGATTGCTGGGCTCTCGCCATATTATATGCATCAGGCTTGAAAAAATATATATACTATATTAGATGGTTCTATCAGTTCTGTTCTCCCTAGAGGTGAGTAATGGACATCTGGTCCAGTGTTACAAAAGAAACGTAGTGGCTGGAGGAAATCTTATCTGTGGTGTTTTGGAAAGTCAAACTGGAAGCACTCTTTGCACAAGCGACTTGGGTGAAATTATAATCAGACAACACTATATTGCAAGAATCAAATGCCGCTCACAGCAGGGGTGAATCTGGCCTGATTTGATAGAGGGGTTGGAGGTTTTCCAGAGGGGGTTGCATTACTAATGTTTGAAATTCGAAGCCCTGAAATGCCATTTCCTGCATCCTGAGCACCACGTTTATTCGTTAAATCTGGCCTCAAGGTAATCCACCACCATATTGGAACTCAAATATGGAATACCATAGTTTTCTTCAAGGGGGTGCTGGACACCACTAAGGTGCACACACCCTGGACCCACCAGTAGATTCGCCCCCTGATTCACAGTTACGAAAAACACATGCAGCAAAAACCCATGTAATTGTTCAAGCAAAGCTCATTACACCCAGATGCAAAGTGTATAGTGAGATATCCTACCTTGTTATTTTCTTTAAAATTTATTCTAGCTTTTCCCTTGACAAGTGTAGCTGATATTTGAACTATCACAGACTCAATACTATATGCACTACTCCAGCCCTAGCACAAAAACAAAAGTTTTTAATAAAATGTTTTGTTCATTTCTTAAATTTTTCCAGCGCTTCTCCCTATTGATCATGTCTTTCTTTTGTAATTATTTTTGCAATTGATTGCTGATAACAATTAATTGATTACAAAAAATGAACCAGTGGGAACAGCTCTTAAGTCCCAATTGCTTCATCAACTTCAAAATGTCTGATCAGTTGCTCGAATATTTTTGAATGTCCTAACCCTAAGGCATTTAATAGTTACAGTACCTGTGTCGTTAGTAACTCCATACATATGGCTCCTCCACTTAAAACATATCTTCAAAAAAAATGAAAAATCTGTTGTTATGACCTTTAATTAAGTTAAACCCAAATATTTTCATAATTATTTAACAAAATATTTCGGTAGAAATTTCTCACAAAATTTTCACCTTCAAATGGTTTGACATTCACAAATTTCACATTTCCAGGTTTTTCCACTAGAAATTGAATGCATTTATTGCAGTAACACATAGTAAATTTCAGATCATCGGTACCTACCCAGCATTGAGAACAGGACAGATAACTCTAACAAACGGTGGTTCAAATGGAAATTTATCCTAAAACAGTACAACACAGCATGCAGTTAAATCAATTTTTTTTATTAATAACATTACAATCAATAACATATAACAGATGATTGAAGGAAAAGGATCTTATATAAGATCCAATTAAGTCCCACCAAAACTATTTTTACTAGCATGCATAACATTTGCAAGTTTATTAATCTAACTAACACTTAATTTATCTGGCTAGAACCGTCTTTTGGTCTTAACAGAGTATAAATGATTTTTTTAATTTTTAGAGTTTTTATACTAATTTTTACAGTTTTAGATTAAAAAAAAATTTTAAGAAAATTTTTAAAAAAATTTTCACGTCTAATTTTTACTAATTTTTAGAGTTTTCATACTATTTTTTTAAATTTAAAACTCGTAGAAGGGTAATGCCTTAATTGGAGTATATGGGACATTTATACTTTTTCTTTCAAAGTCGGGTCATATAAGATGAGAGTTTTCAAGTTGATGACAGGTAGTTTTTTATTTCACTTACTGTAAATGTCATATTTAACGTGATATTCCCTTTGCCACCTTTATTTTTCAATTGTATTAAATCTTTATGAAGTGAACTGTCGGGATCAACTCTGAGAAAAACGGAAATGAAGGCTTTTTAGTCCACCTCAATATTTCAAAGTTTCAGAGTTCGCTTCCGCTACCACTACGATTAATCAATATGGAAGTCAAATCTGAACATCTCTATAATAAAATCAATGCAAATAATATAGAGAATGTTCAAAGACTTACTTGAGTATTTCAATCATCCAGTCATACAAACTATCATCATTCAGTGTTACATGGTATAAACCTAAAAAAACATAATGTTCATTAATTAACCCATTGAGCCGCAATGCGCCCCACTGTGCATGTGCCCTACTTTTTTTTCACTTGTCTAACACCAGACAATTTTACTGGTCAATGGGGATTCCGAAGCTCTGCGGCTTAATGGGTTAAGCTAGTTTCATATTTATTTGGACACCACAGACAACAAAGAAAAATTTGTTGTCTCAAGCGGGATTCAAACATGCATCTTTGGGTTTCTAGACCACTGTTCCACCCAAAATTCTGCCCATGAAATTACCTTTCTTAAAACTGTCAGATCTATAGACTTCGCGTAATTCTTTCATCAATCTGTCACTGGCTTGAACTGATCCAGAAACAGTTCCCTAGATAAAACACAGTATTTTACACATCTAACTAACTAAAGGTGTTATTTTCTGTCGGCTGAGGAACGAAAGAGGCAGAAAATATTTTTCTCACATGCTAGAGGACTGGGTCAAGGGTAGGGTCCAGGTCGTCAGAATCACTTTTTTGCTTGCCTAGATGCTAGTCTGACCTGTGTCTGAACTCCCACCCACCCACCCTAAATCGCAGAAAGAGCCACATGGGTTGACAATTCTTTTGTGATCCATATATATATTTTTGTTAATTCAAGGTCAGGTTTGTGTGCGAGAAACAATATTGTAGTAGATGTTCTTGTATTACTGCATACTGTTAGAGAAAAATAATCCAAGTAAAGTGAAGTAAAGATGATACCTTTAAGTGTTCATCACGTTGATTTAGTCTTAATTTTTCAAGAACAGCAAAATTTTCTTTACTGATGCCATTGAGATCTTCTTTTTTCTCTTGGCTGAGGGAAAGAAAAGAATATTCGTTAATTTAACCATTTCATTAATTAACCAGCATTCTCATTCTTTTCCAGACTAGCATTAGCATTAGCAAAGCCTCAAAAAAAGCATTTACCAAATCTTGCCACCTTTCATCTCAAACTTAATTTGACCAATAAATTCCGCCAACTTCGTTTGCCAAACTTTTCCCAAGTTTGACCTGCAACTTTGACCAACTTTAACCAAATATTTTCCATTTTGACCAACTTTTTGAATTATTGGGGGTGTTACCCCCCCCCCCAATGCACACCCCCCAGTAGCGACATCCCTGGGAACAGAGGTTTATAATAAGGCCCAAACCTGCTGGTATCCTCTCCCATTTCATAATTGTCATATTCTTCATTATCATCCTGAAAGACATAAAACAAATAGTTAGCAATTAAAGAGGTCGGGCCTAGAAAATGGATTTCTCTTCCTGGCTTCTCTTTCTGTGTAAGTCAAATATAAAACTTCTGGCATACAGAGCACTAGTCTCCCACGCTGAGGAGCACGGTCAGGGGCCACAACTGGACTAACAGAGCACATATGGTCAGTGGCATAACAATATATCAGGGGGCCCCTGGTTCAAAATTTTCGAAGGCCCCCTAGTAGAAGTGCCAAAGGTACAAGTTGAGTGCCGTACAAGTTGAGGGCCCCCCTGGTTTGCCCGGTCTGAACCCATAGTAGTTACGCCACTGCATATGGTGCCACACAGTGTGATAGACTTCAATCTCCACAGAAGACGTACAATCTTGACTAGTATAACATTTTTTGAATTTTTAAACAATTTTAAAGGGGAAAAAATATGGCATTCCAGAAAATAAGATTACAAAAATTTCCTGCAAGGTGTAAGAATTCCCATTTTTCTTTGAAATGTTTTTCTTGAACATTGGTCATATTGCTTTACAGAATCTAAGAAATGCTTAGCAAGCCACTGGTAAATAATTCCTAAATTGCAGAGTAGTAATTTCTACCTCTTCATCTAATATTTCATCATCATCTTCATCTCTATTTGATCCAGCGTCCTCACAATCATCCTAAATTCATTTTAACTACAAATTTAATGCATTTACGCAGGGCACACTCTTGAACTGAGTGGGTTAACCAGAAAGCCTGTGCAAGTATATATAATTAGTTATTAAGGCCACGCTTTTTTTTGTTGGAAACGGGAGGCCAAAATATAGAAATAAAAAAAGACAGAATTGCCTAATATCTAATACCAATACCACACAAACAGAGACATGTACATCCAAAGTCAAAGAATACAAGCAAAGTAAACATTGCCTCCTCTATCTAAATTCCTGCATTACAGGTAAACTACGTGAAGCGTTCCTCTTTTGACTTCCTAACTCATTTGGAATTTTCCTCATTGGCTTTGCAAATTTGAAACACTCTTTGCAAATCGAGGGTGTTGATGGGATATATTGTGAGTCACTCAATTTTCGGTTACCGTCAGTTGTGAAAACACTAAAAATTTAGCGTGAGGAAAAATACTGTTTATTGTTTCAGAAGAGTTTTCAAAGATTTACCGTTAAAATACCAAAATGTTACTTATTGTCACTGTTAAAATACAAAACAATAGATACTCCGAAAATTGAAAGCATTAACTATATCGTATCTTGTTACTTCACTATATATACTTGTACGACCTTGTACATATATGTAATATCATCATCATTCATTTCCTGATGATGACTGTAGTTTAGTCGAAACGTTGAAATAAATTTTCAAAATGCTTTCAATTTTCGGAGTATCTATTGTTTTGTATTTTATCAAAATACTCAGTGGTTCCCGTAGTTACCGTTAAAATACCAAAATTGTTACCGTTTTCTGATTTTCAGACCCCCCATCTAGATCCTCCAAAGCCCCTGAGGGAATTTGCAATGTTCCTATCGGCTGTTGCAATATTTTAAATTTTCCTAACTTCCTGTTTAATTTCCTGACTTCCTGTTCTGTTCTGAGCATTGTCATTGGTGGATTATTTTTGCTAGCCAATTGCAACGTGCAGAACAGAACAGGAAGTTAGGAACTTGTAACAGGAAGTTAAGAACTTCTAACAGGAACTGAGGAAAATTTAATTGGCTTTTAGCAACATTGCAAATTTCCTCAAGGGAGTTTTTTTAAATTGCAAAGGTAATGAGGAAAATCGCAAGCCATTTAGAAACTCAAAAGAGGAACGCTTGACGTAGTTTACTTGTAAATGTTATTCATCAATCTAATTTCCATTTGCATCAGAGTCATCAGATCCTTTCATGTAGCTTATTTGTACTTAATTTTGCACTTAATCAGGGTGCAATGCGACTCAATGGGTTAAATTAATCTTTCCCCAGTGCCGTAGCAAGCTTGATAATTGGGGGCACTCATATTCATATATTCGTGTTCTGCGTTATTAATTTCTTTTGAAATCGATTGTTTTTATGGTCTGTGAACACAAATATATGAACATGAGCCAAACTGACATTGTATTTTTGGCTTTCCTTTTCTAAATCCAAAGCATATTTGAAATTGCAACAGGGAAATATGATATGTCTGACGTACAACCAAATCACTATCAAACAGTTGATTAAATATACCCATATTAATAATGACATAATTAATCAATAGTATACATTATATAAATTATACATCTCTTTATTCATTTTCCAAAATGAACATCACAAAAATTGACAAACCTCAATTTGAATGCTTTCTAAACCCTCTAAAACGTGCGGGATATCCAAACTTTGCCTTCTGCATAATTCTTCGATTAAATGCTTGGTCATTTTTGTCAACTAATATAGCACAATAGAAAATGTAACACAATATTGTACAAAACACACCTGACCTTATGAATACAGTACGTTAAAATATTCATCAAACACATCACATTTACAGAACTGTTTACAGCAATAAAACGAATTATAAATTTATAAAAGGACTACATAAGTCTCTCTACATACAATGAGGCGGATTTCGAAGAGGGAAACAACAAAACAAGGCTTAATTCTTACCAGTTTTTCCGCATTTTCGTGCTGATTTTCAGCGATTTTTTCCACGGATTCGACGACCGAAGTTTCGTCGGCTTCAGTGAACCACATTGGGACAACACATGGATAAGATTCCTGCAAAATAATTTTAAATCATTCAAGCACCCTAAATCATTCAAACGAACAGGAAAAGCACAAGGAATAACAAATTCTAAACACTTCAACTCACATATATATTGCAATGAATGACAAACTGTTCGCCATTCGCACCAAGAAAGCGACACGATAATTCGTCCAGGCCATTCGCTTTTACCCGAAAACGTTCATGTTTTGGATGGAAAACCTTTTCAAGAACTCGTATCTCTTTCTTCAGTCCTTGAAAGGCAGACATTTGCCTCCGAAAAGCGTAGAATCGAAAGAAAAAACACTCTATTTCGGCACTATTGTTGTTTTTATATTCCTTCCTTTCCGAATGTTTATTAAAAGCACCGAGCCTGCGAGCGCAACCGCTGGTGCGTTCCAGTAAGTTCAAAGTGGAGCATTTCACCACAACGACGGCCATGTTTAACTGGTGATGCATTCTGGTCCACGTGGGTTTAAACGAACTGCAAAAGCCAGTCTGTGAACACGTTTGAAGTCCAATACCACCCTGCAATAATGCAACGCAATACATTCAAATAGGAAAGGCAATGAAGAATTTTTAACGCACATACGGTCAGCTCTTGATGTATCATTGAATCTTAATTACAGATTTACCTTAATTAAAGTTGTTTTTAATTAACGGTCGTTGCTATTAAGTCACAACTTTCGATGACTCACAGTCTAGTTGTTTAACATGAAAGCATAGAATAAAATCAGATTTATGTATACGTCGAGTTAAGCCTGCTTTTTTGTGATCACATATATATATACATATATATATATACATACATATATATATATATATATATATATATATATATATATATATATATATATATATATATATATATATATATATATATATATATATATATATATATATATATATATATATATATATATATATATATATATATATATATATATATATATATATATATATATATGTAGATGTCATTATATAGTCTGCGCGCAGGCTAGGTGTACCCAGGCTCTTTCCACTAATTCCCTTATACATTTCTTACAAATCCTTCAACACCTATGTAAAATTTGATAGTAGTAAACCAGGCTTTGTTCATCACCCTGTCAACATTCCAAGGAAACCGGAGTACCCACAGAAAACCCACGACTTCCGGAGAATCATGAAAAACTAACCGCGCTATCCAGTATAAATTTAGTTAACCTAGTTCGGGTATTCCTATTTTCTACGGAACTCCGTCCGGACCAACAAGAGATGACGTTTTGTCACTTTCTAGACTCGTTTACACTTGCTGCGATCTCTAGTGCCGTAGTGCGAATTTCATCTCATGGATATGAACGAGCAGATGAGTTATGAATACTCCGAGTATAATATGGTTTACCCTTCATCTGAACTTTCAAAACTCATCCACTACACACGCAGTTGTAACAAACTGCAGCAGACTTGTAGCAATGCTGTACCAACAACTTGTCACCAGGATGTGTTCGCACTGCTTGTTCCCAGCTTGTTGACAAGTTGTCAACGGCTTGATGACAACTTGCTACAAGGTTGTTGAGCTCCACAGACTTGTTACAAGTTGTTCCAACAACTTGTTGTCGCATAATTCAACAATTTGTCAACAAGTTGTGAGTGACAAGCTTGTAGCAACTTGATAAAATAACAGCATTGTTACAACTTGTTGACAAGCTTGTTACAAGCCTGTTTGCAAACACATCTTGTTGACAAGTTGTGAGATTTTTAGGTGTGTAGTTCACATCCAGTGTAAACACCTGCAGACAATGCAATCATAAAAAAAATTGCGTGGAATTTCCGAAGCACTTCAAATAGTATAAGTTCCTTTAGCTAGGTTTTTCATCACACACGACACATACCATTCGTATTTTCATAAATAAAAACTTTGCAAATAATCTAATTGTCAGCCCAAAAATTTCTACTAAAAAAAAATACATTCACAGAAAAGACTATAGTCTCTTAGTTCAAGAGATATTTAAATGAATATTTGTCCATCAAGTGAATTTAGCGAGGTGGTCAGTGCTTCCTACATTTAATATAAATTATAATAGTGCAAAATATCTTTTCATAACAGTTCATATAAAAATACGATATTTATATATATTTATATATGTATATGCGACTTTTTTCGCTAAATTAAATTTCTAAATATTTTACAAACTTTGTTCGTTATCACACGAAATCAATTCATTCTCAACACACATTTTAAAGATTTTAAATTCTAAATCCTATTTTTTTTCCCACATTGACCGGACATTTGTGAATTTATTCTTGCGAGGAGCATTTGTCGACGAGATCCGAATGTCCCGATCTTTACCCGAAGGCACTTTCTCGGATTCTTTCGGAAGAACAAGAGTTGCCTTCCATTTCTTTTGCAAAACTGGACTGGCGTTTGGACTCAGTTTTCCCGAATGATTTTCAATTTTTCGACAAATTTCAGGATTTTTACTAATTTGTTCGTTTGAGCCCGCGCGGTTCAATGCGGTGTTTTCATCGGTGACGTTGCTAAGCGACAGTTCATCTGACGAAGCAGAGCTGGCTGACCGATCGCTAGTGTAAGATGTCTGGGACCAACGTTTCGATTCATCGTTGTTATTTAATTTCGGGGCTTCCTCGGGTTCCGAAGGTTTCGCGACCATTTCCGATTGATTGCCGGTTTTTGTCGTGAATCCAAACGATCTTCTTGGTACATATGCGACCGATACTTTTGCTGCAGCACTTTTGGCAGCAAATGAGAGCGGTCGCACTGTGGGTGTGGTGGGGCTTTTAGGGTTATTAATGGTTTTAGCAGGGGTGATTACGGTCGCAGGAGAGCTATTTCGCTTCACTTGCCATGAGGGTTTCTGGGTATTTGCCGGTATTCCGGTGACTTTAATGGGTTTTGATGGCTCATTGTTTAAATACTTCGAAAAGTCCCTTTGAGGGGTGTATTTCGATCCTTGCGCCACACCGTGTCGGTCAGTGGTTGGTGACGTCACTGGTTCGCGACTAAGTGACGTCATATCATTGGTACTCAATGACGTCAGCTTTCCGTTCGAAAGTCCAGAGCGTGGGTCCGGGAGTGACGAAGATGACGACGTGAATCGTGTTTTCATCGTGGACACCGCGCGTGGTTCTTGCGTGGGCTGATCAGTTGGCGGGGCAATAGTAAGCATAATGTCAAACCCGCCTGCCTTCTCCTCGCCTGCCTTCTCCTCGCCAGAATTTCCACGCGGCCTGATCGTAAACTCGGTCAAACTGTGAGTTGACAAACTTGTTAGTTCCTCGTTAACCTCCGTCCCAGCCTCTTGCTCTTCATTCCCGCCAGGAATTTCGACAGAACTTTGCACCGCATTATTTATCGATTTCTTAGCATTCTCGCCGTTTAAAACTTTCGCTTCTACCTTCTGTGCGCTGTTAGAACGAGACCTGGAGTCGTTGGCACTAATTTTGCTCCCTTTGTTATTGTCTTCGCTATTGTTCTTATTTTTTATGTTATCCGTTTTCACGCTGCCTGAACGCGTCTTCGATTGACTATCGGAACGGGGTTTTGTTTGACCATTCGAGAGCACTTTCAATTGACTATTAGACCGCAGTTTCGACTCAATATCAGACCCAACTTTCGACTGACTATCGGAACGCCCTTTCGACTGACTATCGGCACGTGCTTTGGACTCATGAATCTCAACTGCGCCATTTTTTGCAGGCGTGTCATCCAAATTAATATCACAAGCAACGTTTTTGAGTTCTTGTCCCGAGTTCGTTTTTGTGGCTGCAGTTTTCTTGATATCCGGTTTATTTGTTTCTTTCTGAAAAAGTTTGCTTTTTCCAAGAACGTTAGAGGTTTTCACGGAACCTGCGTTGGTCGGTGACTTCGGGCTAGGCTGCTTGTCGTTCGAGACAAAGCGGTTTGCTTTCAACGAGACTTTGGAAACACCATGTATAGGCGGGGGAGTCGCTTTCAAGTTTTCCCTGCTAGATTTTCGTTGCCAGGGAGGTGGGGTGAAACTTCGCTGTTGTGGGGGGTTGTCGGTATTCGTGAGGGGTCTCTTTGGAGGTGGGGTTGCCTCTTTGGTCTGAAGTGCGCTCTTATGTGTTGCTTCTTTGACTTGAGGTGCTTTTTTTGAGTCAGAATTGTGATGACTTGGTTTGACCTCCGTCTTTGGCACTTCCGGTTTCATCTCGTTAGCAGTCTCCTTGTCAGGCGCATGCGCAACTGCTTTGTCTACTTGTAAACCGACAAGAACGCCACTTCCTGGTTTATCGTCTTGTGGGGCGTTTCCCCCACTGTTAACTTGAACTACGGTCGTGAATTGCGAAACTTTCTTATTTTCAGAAGGCTTTGGAACATCTTCGGTGCTTTTCGGTACATCTTCGGAACGTTTTCGAACATATCCGGAACCTTTCGGTGCACTCTTCTCTTCGGAATCTTTCGTAGTGACGTCGGGAGGCGTCGATGCACTGTGTTTGAGTATACCATGACCATGCTTACGTGTTGGTTGCAGACCAGAATGGTAAAATGTATCATCTTGTTGAAGCAACGCTGCATTGAGTGTAACAAAATAATGGTCTTCTGTGCTTGGTATACGACCCCCTCTACCTCCTTTTTTCAAAATGCCGCCACTTTGAGGCTTGTGTTCAATGTGCATCGTGCTTGTCACAGTTTTAGTCTCCACTGGCTTCTCATCAGCAGGCGCGGTTTCTTCCACAACCATCGCGGCTTCCTTGACACCACTAACGACTTGGTCAGCGGCTCCTTCGCCACCATTAACGACTTGGTCAGCGGCTTCTTCGCCATTATTAACGACTTGGTCAGTGGCTTTTTCGCCACCATTAACGACTTGGTCAGTGGCTTTTTCGCCACCATTAACGACTTGGTCAGTGGCTTCTTTGCCGCCATTATTAAAGACTTGGTCAGCGGCTACGTCACCATTAATGACTTCATCAGTCTCGATTTTCGTCTGCTTTGCATCGACTTCCTTTTTGGATTTCGCGATTTCGTCCGTTCTCAACTGTCCGCGGGCGCGTCGTTTTTCCCGTTTTGTCATCGAGCCGTAATCGACAGGCTCCTGGACCGCAGGACTGAGTTCGACTTTGTCGTCCGTCTCGTTGTCATCGACAAGCTCGGGCTCAGGCTCCGCACTCTCTCCTTCACCAATATCAATGTCCATTGTCTTGAGAGTAAGAGAGTCGGTCTTCTCGACTGCTGTTTTCGGAGAACTAGATTGTTTATGTTTTTTACGGTGGATTGTCGACTCTTTCTTCTTGTGGTCTTTATGTGAGTTTGGCGGCTTTTCTTCCGCGGGCTGGGAAAAATAAGAAACAAAGTGTCGATCAGAGCTTTCAGAATTATTTTGAGTAGGTGGCTGTGTTAATAGAGTAGGTGGCTGTGGGGAGGGAAGCGAATTAAAAGTCATCCAAACTAACTAGTTTGACTGCGCCACCGACGTCCCTACGCGTGATCATTGAACACACTCCCCCAACATTTGTTCAACATCACTCAACATATTGGTCTGTTGGACACTGTTGGACAATGATGAAATTTCATGCAAAGCAAGATACTAATCGATCGCAAACACAGACGTTCAACAAAACCATTTGCATACCTCAGGCTCATTGTTGGTTTCTTTGTTGTTATCGGTCATTGGCGGGATCGCAGTTATGAAGCCTGGCGGAGGTTTAATGCCCATCTTTGCAATCAAATTCATTGCACGGATTTTGTTATAAGACATCTGGAAGAGACAAAAATTATTAAGGTTGAAGAAAGTTTTTCTTAAAAACTAAACATCACTAGGAAACATGGAATTATAGTTTTTGGTTAGGACAAAGACAAAAATCGGAATACAATGAAAAACAGTAAAATGAAAGAATGATTATAAAATAAGTAATTTATTTCTTCATTTTCACGTGATTCAGATTGTATTTTGTCAAACAAAACATAAGTGATAAGGAATCTTTCCTTATACCTTCCATCTCTTTCTGGCAACAAATCTCTTGAAGTTGAAAGTACAAATTTGGGTGGTTCGTCTTCTTTGTTTCTTTTTCTTATCAACAACCTAAATATACATGATGGTATTAGACAAAGTAAAATGATAAAATAGGAAGCAATAAGGATAACTGGGGTTAACTTCAGATATGTGACTAACCTCCTCTTCCACCCAAGTATGTCGGGAACAGTCGTGAGCAGTGGGTCGTTTTCTGCAACAAAGAATTAAAGAACATCGACTGAGGTCATAATGTTATCTGCCACAACCGATTACTGTAACATTGGATGGCTCTGTTTCCTCTACAGATCCGATGTATCTAGTGTGGTGTCTAATAGTTGAGTCAAACTGGATGCAATAGAGAGGTTCAGATTAGACTTCAAGGGACTATTAACCATTCAGAATGTTGTCAGATGCGTTTCATATATCCGATTAACCAATCGGATGCGGACTAAGCCAGTAAGAGGTAGCGGTAGTGGAAGTCAGATCTTAACCTCTCGATCTATTGTTCTGAGACAACATTGACTGAGACACCATATTATAGTCAAACACTGTATGTTGCAGATTGCAGAACTACTGTTGCAGATGGGAAGGCATATGCACTAATATAACCAGTGGCGAAGTCAGGCCGATAATTTGGTCATGCTATGTAAATATCCGTGTTCATAGACCGTGAAAACAATTTCTAAAGGAATGAATGATAATTTAAAGTTTGTATCGCATGACCAAATTGTTGGGCTGGCTTCGCCAGTGGCACTAACGAACGACAACATTGTTCATCAGCACTGTACATTTTCTCTGCCATAATCCCAAAATTATGTAAAAGCTGACGTTCAATTGTTGATCCGTTAAGTCTTACTACATACCTTGGATTTTTTACAAGCAGCTTTCGAATAAAGTCTTTTGCTTCGTCGCTGATCTCTGCGAAATATTCCTCGTCAAACTGATAGTCCACTTGAATAATGTTGGTAAAAGTCTCTTGGTTGTCTTCACCGAGAAATGGAGAAGCTCCGCTTAACCTTAAAAATACATTTGTACATCGAATAATGCAACTTATAGTAGTCTGTAATGTGCTTCTAAAGAAGCTCAATGTTCTCAGTGTCCACTTATGGCTAAATCGCTCATTGTCATTGAACTAGTGTTACCACAGGAGGAAACCTTACCTAAACTAACTTTATTTATACTGGATAGTTCTATCAGTTTAAACTGTTCTCCCCAGGGATCAAGTAAGGGCGATGCAATTTCTGCCCCGTGTTGCTACAGGAGGAAACTCAACTCAAAGAGTCAAAGTAATTTTATCTAAAGGACAGCTCTGTCAGTCAGTTTTACGCGTTATTTTACTGGTTGTAGCAAGGTCACTGAAAGTGAATTAATTGGCTAAAATGTTCACGAATTATTCTTATGTGGGATAAACACGACACCGAACACCCACGCATCACGTATTTATGATACTAAATGAAACTGTATCAGTCAACACTACAATCTCCATTGGCATTGACGCAGCAAAATCATGCATTGAAATATGTATACGAATATTTTAGGACTCTTTGAAAAACTAATAGCAGAACTTGATGGTTTTTCCTGTACAAGCTGTGAACGTTTAAGAAGACTGAGTTATTCCTACATGGACATTAGTCATTAGACATTACTCACACGAAACGTGAACCTGAAGTTGCTGAACGTGCAGATAACCAGCCAGTCATACATAAACATGCCAAAGTGTTTCCGTGTTGTGATAATCTGATTGATATGGATATTGTACGTCAGTCCTTGTCTAAAACTGACGTCTACTTGCCACGTTATGTCTTGGAAAACATTTAGGGTTCACCCTCAATTGGTTGGCAGCAATTAGAATAACTGCAGATCCGTATCACAGAAAAAAGACATACAGAAGTGTAACTTCCATTACAAAACCGTAAGGCGCTTTTTTACCGAAATAGCTGGGTATGTTTTCAGGGGGGTGACTGCCTCTCTTTAGGGCACTTGCTAAGAACATGGCGGACTGAAAAAATCCCTTACGCGAAATTAACCTGAAGTGAGATCTCTGTATGTACTTCCTCTGTGTCCGTATTGATATATTCTGATACACTTTGTTTTGATTAAACCCAAATGATTGGTTTATCTTTGTCAGGTGATGCTTTCACTAGTATAATGGAGCGATTAAAAATGAACAGAAAACAGCGGAAATACCACTAGATGCTGTTTAATTAATACTTACAAAATATAAGCAATAACTCCCAAGGCCCTAAAAAGAAGAGTTTAATTTTGAGTAAATGATAACAACATTTATTGGATTCCAAAGTATTAATTTTAAGAAAAAATAATTTAAACTTACCACATATCAGTGGCAGTGCTAATTGTATCAAAATTCAATACTTCAGGAGCTAGAAAACAAGAATTTAAATAAACTTTATCTGGTAAAAGTAGGCAGTGGTAAAGTTATACCATTTGAAATACAATGTACTGGTCTACAATCCTGGACAAAACATCTGGGACACTACCAATTATTTGACCAACTTTCATAGTAAAAACAACAACATAAAAAAACACGTACATTAAGATTGGCAGAAACAAGAAGGTAGAATTAAGCACAGGATATTTTTGTTAGGCCTAATGTACTGTAGTAGTCTATTGTCAGGTGGCATCACTGCAGTGTATTAAAACTACCTGAAAAAAGATTATGACGAGTCGTGTAGTCACAGGGAAGGTCGAGAGGCTCTCCAAGAAGTTAAGAAATTAAGAGAGAGTTGGCACTTACAAATTGTTACTGGTGATATTTCAAGCTCTAGATTAACAAAACCAGCCATGTTTCAGCTTAAATAGAATACATGATAGTGTTGAAAAAGCATTAAGAACAGCTAACCAGGTTGCATGACTGCCAAGTCTCATCCTATCTTTTTCAGAAAGTTAAAATATGCCATTTATCAAATTTAAATAATAATTCATGCTCCACATCTTACCAACAAATTCAGGAGTCCCCATGATCTCTCGAACTTGTTCGTTTTCATTCACAACTCGAGCGAGACCAAAATCCACCAGTTTGATGGTTTTCCTTCTCGTATTTTTTAACAAAATATTTTCGGGCTAAACAATAAAACATGCTTTTTAGCCCAGGGACCGCAGGACAGGGGGTCCCAGGGTCTGCGGAACTGGGGGGCCATCCCCCACTTTTTTCGGTGGATAAAAAAATTACCGGATAAAATCCAGCCTGTCTGCGTGGCATAGCTCCCGTGCTATCCTGCCCCCCCCCCCACTTTTAAACGGGCTCCGCGGTCCCTGTAGCCCAGCAAAATCTTGGCAGTAAAATCGTCTGGTGTTAGACAGAGTGAAATCGTACAAAGTAGGGTGCATTGCCACTTAATTTAAAGGGTTAATAATGATCTCAGTTATTATTTAGACACAGTTTTAGTTACTTTTACATCAGTTTAATTAATTAGCCAAATTTTGCACATCCCACTCGATAGAACTATGTTTTGAAACAAAAGACCTTAACCTTCTACAATTAGCAGAAATACAAACATATATATCATATTAAGCACATCAAGCCAGAACACTGTGTGTGATATATTTAAGACAGATCATCTCATGTTTCTGCTAGACTAAATACAAACACACCTTGATTGTTTTTTAATACTTAGTAAGGTTATCAGCAACGCACATACAGCAAGTATCCCAAATTAAAATGAAATTCATAAATCAATCTTGCTTAATTTGAGTTTTGACATTAAAAAATTTGATTAAATAATTTATGTTTTAGTGGTCAAATTAATCCCAATGAAAAAATCCTATTGGAATTCCTATTGATTTTGGCCCAAATCCCTATACGATAGGAGTTCCTATGTATAGGAAATTTGTTCTTATTAGATTTTGGACCATTCCTATGGCATCGGAGTTCCAAACTATTTCTCGAGAATCTATATCACACTGATCACATGTGATCATCGTCTATCCTACACTTAGACTTTTGAAAATAGTGTCACTCCACGGCTTCCTAGCTTCGGTAAACTTGCAGCATTACACAGAGCATGGGTGTTGAATGTTGGGATCTGAGGTATAAACCATGTTGCATGTGACTGCAGCTATCTGTAAACCTGGGTCATATGCTCTTGTGCACGCTAGTTATAGCCCAAATTTTCAATTTTTCCCAATATCGTTTTGCAATGTTTACCGACCAGATTTAATAGGCCTGCATCTCTTTTCTATAACATTCTCTTTCTATTTTCAAACTTTGTGTCTGCTCTGTGGCAAAATTTTATTTATCAAGCCGTCGAGCTCTGAGTTATGTTCTTCAGGCCCAATTAATGAAAAACGTCCCCCCCCCCCCGGTGGCCTGGTCCTTGGTTGTAACTTGCAAAATATGCAGTTGGGAACCTGCTCCGGCTGCTGGTTTCGCAAGCAGGTCTAATTGCAGATGATTTTTTGTCACCTGCAGAAAGAGGAAATACACATGCATGGCGTAGAGTCAAACTGGAAACTACTCCCTTCATGATGTACCCATAGCAGAAATGCCAGCGCATAACATGCAGACAATGTTGCACAAAAAAACCCTAGCCCACGTTTTGTGCATTGCTATAATCAGACAAAGGCAAGCTGACAAATTGTTTGTATTTAGATCAACGAGGGGTCTGGCCACATTCCGCATGATGGCTTGTCTTTTATCATCCACGCATGTGTCAACACTACAGCACAAGAGTGGCTAAATTTGGCCAAAAATCAGCGAGCGGTGTGATTTAATAATCGCTTTGCTAAACCACGTCGAAATGCTGCTAATATTTCACAAGCAGGCTGTTAAAAACCATAAGCAGCTATAATATAGGTTAAAGGCAAACGCGCTCCACACGCGACAATCACACGCTGCGGAGAAAGAATACTGTCACCTTTATTGCAAACAGGGAGGCAGGCTTGTCTAGCCTTTTAAAAATGCTCATGCAACGAAATACGCTGTAAATTTATTGCTTTGAATGTCGCATGTCTTTTTGGAGACAAGGCAGGAAAACAAGGCAGGAAAACAAAACAGGAAAGCCGGGCTTATTCACAATTATCCCGCACGGAAAATATTATTTTTCTAAATCTTATACGGTGGAACAATTGCCTCAAGAAATGCACAATTCGGTACAACAGCGCTGTAAAATGATGTACATTTATGTGGCTGTATCATGCCCATGGAGTTAAAAGCGTAGCGATTTAATACCGCCCTTATTTTGTTGCAAGACAGAGGTGACATAAATTGTATTTCAGCGAAGTCACAAAAACTCAAGCGTTCCTTAAACGTTTTTCAACAAGTGTACTATTTTTAGTGCTAATATGCATCTGATTGGGAAACACGGGTTTTAAATAAGAAAACAATTTCATATATCCTTCTTGAAAACAAAAAGTTCATATTTACAATTGCAACACACAAGAACAATTGTGCTTATACACCTAAATTGATTTATTACAACGTTCTAAATTCTCCTCTAAAATTAACATTATAATTGAAGAACAAACGATATGACAGGTCGTCTGTCTCTTCTTGAAGACTGCTTCGACGGATTTGGTCATTCCTGCATTTGTATTTATGAAACCATTTTTGGGTATCGAGCGAATTGTGGTAAATTTTATACTTTACACCGGTACAGAGCTCATATTTGGGTTCTGTATCTGATCTGGAAAAGCACTTAAAAATCGCAAGTATACAACTCATTATATATGCAAGTGAACATATTTACATGATGTGACAAAGAGTTGTAGTTTTTTATTGTAACACCAACACATTAAATGCATTTTGTCTTTTGGCAAAGAATACATATAATAGGTTTATATTCACCTATGTATAAGCCACAAAAAATCACGCTAGATTATTGTAGATCAGTTGACAACACAAATAGCCGGTGCAGACATTAATGACAACAGAATTACTTTATAACTTGATCAAAATATCGTAATGCGGTTATATTAAAATAGATTTAATAAGAAATACAATATATCTGTCCAGATTTCAACTCAATCTATTTTAGGGACAACAGTATTGTCGTATTAATTGAGTGTAACATTAAACCATTTACCTTCAGGTCCAAATGCACTACACTGCGGCTGTGAAGATGCTGCAAGCCTTGTAAAATCTGTCTCGTGAAATCTATTGCTTCCTCCTCAGTTAGAAAGTCTTTTTTTGAAATATAATCAAACAGTTCACCACCTCGAAGCCTAGGGTATAAAATGTAACAGTTCAGGCTTTGAATTGCGCACTTTGGGGCGGGTTTTGTACACATTTTCACGGGTACAAAATGTACTTTATTGCTACATTTTCTGATTTGATTAGCAAGCGAGTTGGTGTTCTGTTGCAAGGGTGAAATACTGTCATATGCTTAGACAAAATAAGATATCTTTAAAATGCGTTAAAATAATAATCCTGTACTCACAATTCCATAACTAATATCACTTCTTTATCAGTCTCATAGACATCGTGAACCTTTATAATTTTTTCGCTGTCCACCATACGTAGAATTTCAATCTCTCTTTTTATATCTTCGCGGCTCATGCCATTACGACTTGCCTTCGTTCGCTTTTTACGTACATATTTCGCTGCAAATTCATCGCCCGTCTCTTTCTCGACAATCTTACGGACTACGGCGAACTGGCCGCTTTAAAAAACAAACAAGAAGTCGTTTTAAATAAATCGCCGCAACATATTTATTGCGAAGTATATAAAATAGCCAAGGCCGTCTACAAATGGCCGGTGCGCGCCTGACTCGCACACGGCGACCACTTTCAATCTGTCGCGAGAATAGCAAAATCGTGGCTGTTTTGGCAAAATTTGAATGGATAAACATTTAGCCACACAATTGGCCTCTTCTTTAACGATATTTTCAAACGACAACATACCTTCCCAGTTCTTCTTCGATGTCATAATCTTCGTGAATGTTTTTCTTAAAATTTTCGGTGTCATGCATTCCGACAGAATTTCAGTCCCTCGTTTTGCCTTTTCTGGCCTTCTGTTGAAGGAAACGCGTTAGAAGACGATGCGAATATTCATGAATTATTACCGGCGAGCCTCAAACGCCTTCAAACTTGTCGTATTTCCCGTGGAAAGCCAAAAGATTATCACCATACATTCTAAACAGAACAGTATATCGCCTCCATCAAGCCGCAATTGTTGTGTTGTCGTTCCACTCCCCCTGAAACGTCTTCGTCATTTCCCGTAAAGAATGATCGGAAATTCACGTCAGTGACGTCACGAGATAAGCTCGCCACAGAAGCCACAGACAGAAGCCGCAGTTTCTATTTTCGTGCCGCGTTTTTTTGTTTATATTTGTCTATGCATTGTAGTGTAAACAAGCGCATATAGATGGTGTAAACATGTTTTAACGAACGAACTAAAAACGCAATATATACTGGGAAAGTTCCTGCCAACAAATCGTCGCTGTTATTTTCAATTCCTGTTCCGATTAGTATTATTTCGACCCAAATTTTGGATAGCATTAAAACGTCGAATTCGGTTCTGTCTGATATTTACTCATACACCTTGCATTAGCATCACCTGAGTTATACATGAACCTTGCAATTAGAGATCGACAACTAGGCACTAGCCCTGTAGCTCAGTTGGTTTAATAGAGCGCTTGCTGAGCGTTGCATTTTTCGCAAACCCATCCAAAACCTATCTAAGACGTGAAATTACCACATAGTTAGTTTCTCAGCCTCTTCTCAGATCAGTTATAAAAGTCCAGATCAGTCTAGTAACAATCTAACCGCGGCATGTAGGTAATTATAGATGAGATTTCGGTCCATTAATAGTAATATGGGAAAATATTTTCCATAAGTGCAGACAAATGCAGACCCACCAGCTGCGTTGTGCGTCATTCGCATGTATTGAAAATTCTTGGAATTAAGACGTAATACCAGAAAGTTGCGATTTGAAAGACGTTGAACTGCCTGAAAAATACAAGCGAAACTTCGACGTTTCAAGCGAGGGCCTTCGTCGGAAGTTAGTAGGAAAATAGAAAGTCGCCTACGAACCTCCCAACGAAGTACTCTCGCTCGAAACTTCGAAGTTTCGCTTGTATTTTTCAGGTAGTTGAACCTCTCCCATTTAATCCGCGACTTTCTGTTGTTTTGTCACTACCTACGCTGGCCACAGACCGTTGGGAGTTTCTACTTTCTATTAATTAAGGAGTAATCCCTGTTCAGGATAATCCAAAACATTTGCTGACGACAGTTGGCGCCAAATGACGACATCCGCGTCGTCCTAGACGTCGTGTCCTGTTTTCCGTGAAATTATGTCTATTATATGTATTTGACGTAGACTTTTCCAAAGACCGTTTTCTTTTTGAAGGCGAAAAGGGAAGAGACTGGGTTAGGAATGAGAGGAAGACGTACAGTATTCTGAACTTAATTCTTGGGTTTCATATGACGTCACAGAAGTGACGGGGGGGGGGTCAACTCTAAAATAAAACACAGTTATCAGAGTGAGTCGATTGTTCGTTTTATGTACTATTGTGGAATTTCGTATCATTTTCACACTCCAGTACAGCATAAGCATCAATACATTTGAGGTTGACCCCCCGTCAGATTCACTGCATAATGCCATAGTGAAACCCAAGAATACTAAATTCTATACGTCATCAAGCTTCCAAGCCTTAACCTCACCCGATGCCAACTCTAAACCAACAATCTTGGACATAAACCCTTGAGACCATTCCAGCCAATATTGCAAAGTTGATGTACATTGATAAAACAAACTTCGTCACCCCCCTCTCCCCCAGTTCAAACGGTTGTAAACAGCGTCAGTCGAAACAACATTTAGGAATTTACCATGACATAAGCTCAACATTGAGTTGGGGGAGCGAGGGCTTAAGAAGCACAACACGATTCAACATGAATTTATCATAAGGGGTATGCGAATTTTGTATAGAGAGAAAGGTATAGTCTCAACCAGTTATATCCAAGATTGTGGGTTGTGGCTACTTTTATACTGCCATAAACCTAATCCTATTTCTAAAATTTGAAAGTGTAAAAAATTGTCACCGAAATTTAATATTGAACCCCAAATCTGACAAAAAAAACCGACAAGAATAATGCATGCAGAGGCTTTTATTTGGTCTTGACCGCGCGTTTAGTCTCAGTCCGCCCGGGATACAAAACGAAGGAAAATAGAGGAATTGCTCGCATGGAATTGTGGAAGCATGAATATATTATTGGCAATGACATCAGAAAGGGCATGCGCAAATTGTCGACGCGAGTGGCAAGATTTCGGTACCACAAAATATCACGTTTCAACCGTTGCTAAGCAACACACGCCACTGTTACCAAGACAAAGAAGAGATAGTATGAGGGGGAGGAATAAAGTGATTTACTGGTTGGCTACGCACACAAGACACCTCTAAGTGCGTGGGAGATCGCTCACATTCCTTTTAAAGACATTACGTACAATTTGGTCAAATATTTCTCCTCTTTAGGAAAATGACATACACTCACCAAGAATTTCGATACTTTTAAAAATTTTCTATTTTCATATAACTTTACGGTTCAGTTACTCGCTGGTATAATGCAACGATGTTGCATTCAAAATTTCAAATATATATGTGTTGGTAATACTATGGTTTCGAGTGTAATTTGGAAAAAAAATATGCACAACAAAGACTATCAAAATTGCACGAGTCCGAAGGACGACTGGAATTTGAAGTCTTTGAAAAACTCACGAGTGCATGTTTTTTTTTCAAATTGCACGAGAAACCATATTACTTATATTATGCAGTCACTCCTAAAAAACTCCCAAATATTTCTTTTTTTGTGTTATATCTTCTGGAAATTGCTGTATCTTACTGGCTATCTGAATTATTGTTTCATCAATATTTTCATATTTCATATTTCGTGGAACCCCGTTATTGGAGATTTTATCTCTGTGTGGTCATTCCAGCCATTGTGTGTAATTTATAGTTTATAGTTTATATCTTTAATAATGGCAAACTTGTAAAATAAATAAATAAAATATTTTAAGCGAATCAGAAAGCCTAAATAGTCAATGAAATTTGCACTGTTCTTATCAGAATTGAGAAATTCTTTCATGTATATTATATTATATATGAAGAGAATACACCATGGTACGTAGTTATCAAAGTCTCGAAACGACCGCTAGCGGAGCCAGGAAGGGTACGTACAGGTTGGCGCTTTAATATCGATATTTTTGCCATCTCGCTCGATAGAATTAACAGTCGAAGAATTTTTGTGATGCAAATCTTACAGAGTCCAGTTGTCGAGCTCTATGGTGGCCGAGCGTTGCCACTCGTTTTTTTTGTACATTTTACATTATTTTAAAGATTTTTTTACTTTTTATTTTTTTAATTAAAATGAAAAATAAAAATAAATTAAAATGAAATACAAAATAAATTAAAATGAAATACAAAATAAATTAAAATGAAATGCAAAATAATTTACAATTAAAATTAAAGTAAAAGTGAATTTCCCCATGGCCGAGGGCTGCCACTACCATAATGCACAGCGACCCGAGAGAAATTCCCATGAGCCGAGCAGTGGCCGAGCCAGTGGGCCGAGCGCTATCATAACATCCCATGAACCTTTGCCCGCGCGGAAGGCAACATGGCGGAGAAATGGCGAAAG